GCAGGGGGGGGGGGGGGCCGAAAGTGAGAAAGTGCAATTCGCGGGGATAAACATTTTCGCGCGCACGGCACGGCGTTGTCGGAATGTCGTGCAGGTGTGCAATTGCATATCGTACGTGTATATCTGCTCTCTCTCTCTCTCTCTCTCTCTCTCTCTCTCTCTCTCTCTTTCTCTCTCTCTCTCTCTATGTCTCTCAGTTCTGCTCCGGCATCTCGTTTGCGGGTGAAACGGGACATGCCGCGTTAATTACTCATTACGACACAGAGGCGAGCCTAGAATATTTCCGGGCAGCGACATCGACGCTGAATTAACCCGAACGATATCGTGCTTCGAGATCTGTAACATGACGAATTGCAGATAGATCGATTATTATGCAGTGGTGAGAAGTACGTATTTCTTTATTTATTTATTTATTTATTTATTTAGAGACAGAGAGAGAGAGAGAGAGAGAGAGAGAGAGAGAGAGAGAGAGATTTTCAATTTAATCTAACGTAAACTAGAATTTATTGGGCATCCGGAAAGTTAATTGCCTTTAAACAACAATTCAATTTTTCTCTAGCAGTGAACGAAAAGCATTATAGTGGAACGCGAACGAATTGCGTGTTTCAAGCCGGATCTAATCTAACAATAAGCAAACAAACGCGAATGAACAATTTGCTTCAATGAGTGCATTGGGAGCTTTGACGTTGAAGCAAATTAATCGTTCGTTCGTGTTTGTCTATGCTCGTTTGCTTGGTCCAAATTTAGCTTAAAACGAATATTTTTATAGTATTTTTCGTATACCACATAGCTTAAATAAAATCGCATAAATGAAAAATTTTTTATTTTGTTTGAATGTATCGCTATTCGCTAAATCGGAATACTCAGTTGTTACAGCATTTCTTCATCGATCTCGTTCATGCATTTTAGATAATTATGTGTTTTTGTTTGTCAAATTCTTATGAGAAGGACCCGATTTTTTGCCATAGCTGAGCCCGCGTTTCTCCTGCCGATGGGCGTCGCGACGGCCTCCTTTTTTTTCCGCGATACGTGGAAAGCGTTTATTGTGATCCCCGACTAGTGAAGGGAGGACGAGCGTTGTCCATTAACACAATGTGAAAAAGCGACGGCGCGTCACGATAGCTCATCGAACTTTCGCGTCGTATCGATAACATTATTGTCGTCGCCACCGTCCTCACAGTAGGGGGTCAGTGTTAATATTGTTGCAAGGTTGTTGTTTTTTTCTTGCGATTATGTGCACACGTATCTATACAGTGACAAAAAAATGTCTTTGTTAAACTTAAAAAGTTTAAATTTTGTAAAGAACTTCTTGATATTTTGTAAAGAGAGCCGTATTTGCGTTACAAAATTCGTCAACCTACAAATTAATCAAACATTGTTCTATATTCTCCATTGAGTTTTAAGTTCGAGAAATACTCAACGATAGTTGGTATTTTTCTGGCGTTACACAAATGCAACGCATTGCCAAACGACTGAAAAATAACTATGGATATTTTTTGACATGCACTCGTTTCAGTCGCTTTATTTATTCTTCACTCTCGTCGTCGATCTCGTTGGAACGAGTTATGTATTTTGACAAGAAATGCGTGTTTGCGCAATAACTTTTTTTTAAGGTAATAGAAAATTACGACAGAACTTGTTGGATAACTTTTGCTTCGGTGGTAAACACTGACATATTTTAACGTAAAACTTATTTCTTAAATGGGAAAATATTTACTAATTTTTGTTTGAGTAATATCTTTTTTGTCATTAGCTTATTTGCTAAATATTTAAAATCTTTTTTTTTAAATAAGAGAAACCTGTTAAAAGGAGATAATAATAGGAAAATATTAAAATAATTTTTCTGTAATATTAATTTAATAAATTGAAATAATATTAACATAATTTTTTTAATTTGGGCGCTTCCAATGTGTGAATATTGTATAAGTTAAATTACCGGACGTAATCTAGGTCATTGCAAATTCGCAATACCGTTATCTTCACGTTTGTGATATCGTCGATTTCATGATGACAACACACGTAACTGATATCGTTCGCTCAATGTATTAAAAAGACTCGACAGATTCGGCGAGGCGCGACGTCCGCGCAAAAGTAACGGATCTACGCGTTATTCGCTCAACCGTGACGCCGTTACCTCTAGGCATTACCGTTCCCATTTTTCGCCTCGATTACGATCACGCCAGGGAAAAGGAGTCAATCTATCTAGGCGCGATCGCACGTCCCCGTCGTCATGTCGTCGTGTCGATCGCACGTGCTTTTTATGACGTCAGAAAGGCCGGTTCAAACTGTCGTTAATTCGCAATATCGCGTCCAGGACAAACGGTTTTGCTACCGCAACCTATATTCCACATCACACACTTGCTGTTTCACATGCGACAAGTGACAAACAAGTTGAAAGAAAATTCTCAGTTTTATAAATAGATCTTTTAATTTTAATTTTATTTAATAAAAAATTTGTAATATTTTTCTAAAAAAAAAAATAAAGTCTCTGTACATTTTTATGCAAATAGCAAAAATGTTATTTTATGTAACATTTATCCAATATGAAGAGCTTGACATAAGATGCTAAAGAGCTGCACTGAATTTCATATATTATAGAGAGTAGAAATCTTTTCAACTTTATCTTTTTATTTGACTGAATAATTCTTAGCCTTTTAGACTAAATATACTTTTTATACAGCAGTAAATCATGTCGAGATGAAATATATGCGAATGTTTGAATGTATATTATCTGTAAACAGAGTTTTAATTCAGTGCATGCTATTTATTTTATCGTGGGTACTGTGTCAGTTATGCGGTTATACGTCGACGATAATTGCGAAGTTATAAATTATTTTATGAAATGTTTCTAAAATAAGCATTACCGGGGCACGGCGCGCCGCGTCATTCGTTCCTTCGGGCGGAGCATTCGTTCGCTCAATGTAAAAGATACCGTGCTGCATCGAGGAATGCATTTTTTAGTCCGGCATCTCTTTTTCCACGGTAAGTAAGTAAGATCGGTGTTTCCAGGATAATCGGTCGGTTGTATACATTTTTACAGCCCTCAAGAACCGAGTAGAATTGCGAATGGAAACCGCGAAGAGACGTGACAGAAAATAGGTTACTAATCATAAGATTATTACGAATTCAAATGTTTTTTTTTTTCTTAACTTGGTCGTACGTAATCATTCATACGTGACACGATTTTAAGATGATAAAAATGTAAAACGCGTTGAAACGAGGCTCGACAGTGATTGGAAATAGAGAATAAAATACTATTACAGAAATAGATTAAATTTACGAGCAGCATTTATTAAATATTGAATTTAATGTTTACAAAGTAAATTATTAATGCTGTGCAACGTTATGCGCGGAAATGTAATTTTGTTTTCGTATTATTGCACCCGTGTATTTTCACACATTGCATGCAATTGCCCGTAGCCGGAAGACGCTCGCGGTGGCGCATTCCATATTACTCCGAACTTAACGCGGATAACTTGGAACGCCGGTTGCTACTGCTCTCATCTATTTGCCTCCGCTACCTCGGCCGTCTTCCTCGATAATGGCTATCCGCGCCTGCATCGCTTCTCTCTCTCCGTGGTCGTCTATTGTTGAGAACATAATGACTACACGCGGTCGATTCTTCCGTTATCCTCTTCAGGACTCCGGATAATTGGAACGACCGGCGCGCCGCGTTTCTTCGGTTGAAATTGAAGGATTCCTTCCGATTCCTCTGGAGTGACCTGGCGTAGATTGAAACCGAGTACGTTTTTGTGTTGTTGCAATGGCCTTTCTCGTTGATCGTATTCGGCGTTAAAGGATTATACCGTAACAGCGACCCACTTTTTGAGATTTTGTTACTCAAGGAGAAACGTACGGTTCTCACATACTTGAAAGAAAAACATTAAAATATCTATGTGTTTTAGTGACGAGTTTTAGCGAGAGATAACTCTCTATATTTAAACGGTCTTTGTATCAAACTTTGAGAGTGTCCTCTACTGTATTTTTAGTAACTAAATAATTCAGTGTTGACTTTGGATTCCGTTAAATGAGATTTCTTTCGAAATTAGCTGTCAGTTTCCATACTTGCATTCGTAACAAAGTCAGCTCGTCTTCGGATGAGCTGTCGAACAGTGGATCTCGCACTGCATGCCGACACCTATATTTATATTTACCCATTGTTGGTTGCCTCCTCGGCAACAAGATGATTCGGGATCGGCCTGGTTCTATTCTAGTGCTTCGGCTGACAGGATAAACACTCGCGATACCAACGACCCTGTCACAATATGGCGCGGTCAAGGTTTGCCAAGACATCCCAAGGCCTCTTGAAGGCATTTTGAATAACTAACCTCATAATACGGTGGCATAAAGTTAAATTGCTCACATGAGATCGCGATCTTTTTAAATTTAGTAATATATATTACAATATTAATTTTAGTCATATTTTGTCTTTCTTGATGCTATTCCGAAACATGGATACGCAAATAGTCTTTATAGTTTATTTGATAAATTATGGTGGTTGACAAGCTATTGCTAATTTTATATTCTTGAAGTTTGGATATGCAAAACGAGTGTTAAGTTAAATTTAATTGATGAATTCTTTGAAACTGATGCCAACGTTTGTTTAAGGAAAATTTATCTTCTGAAATTTTTAGCACACGCATATATATATTTCAATAATAGGCGATCTCCATGGAAGAAACAGGTTCTCCTGCGTTATAAAGACTAGTTCACGCATTACCCGCGCGCATGATGTACGCGGATTATCATCTTGCGATTGCACACTGCAGGTGGAATGCGGAATATATATTCCAATCTAACTTACGTAAGAGACGGATTCTATATTACTACATCTTCATAAGTCGATTGTACATACAGATGATGGGATAATGATATTAATATAATGATATATGGCTAAAAGTATCGAGATATATTATTCGAGATGCACTATTGTTTTTATATATTTTTATTAGAATACTTTTGCTTTTAATTTGCAGAATATTAACTTGCTATCGTCAATAAAATTTGTAGAATAGATACATATGAGAGAACTTCGATAATTAGCTAATCAATATTTTTATTTAGCAATTTTTTTATTTATTTCCAAGGAGTACTTACTATTAATTAATTTTGTTTATGACAACAATTATTTAAATTTAACAGTAATCTTAATACGTTTTTCATAACAGACGCGATTATATTGGAATAATATAATTCTTAGAGAGTTATGAAGAAATATGTATATATATCTCTTTACGTAAAAGCCTTACAGTCTGATTCATCAAATTTTGCCATGACCATTATTATCGAGCTTGCAAACTACTTGGAATGCAACCAAAGATATTTCTGATGTAATTTGCAATATTATAGCGGAAACGAAGCTTGCATTCCGAATGGCAGAAAGCAAGATTGCGCGGTTATTGCGGTATCTCGTTCTTTTTGAACAGAATCTCTTTCTCTTTCTCGCCCGTCCTTTGTGGCTTCGCAGCGCTGCCTCTCAGTCGAGCACTTGACTAAGAAAGTGTCTGTTTCTGCGATCTCGAACAGTTAAATTACCTCTTTAAAAAGCGAAACATATGTTGGCGATATTTACTGTTAGCTAAATCTATTTATCGAATATTGTACAGAGACATAAGTAATGTGTGTTTATTGTCGCACTTTCGCGACCTCATTTCTTATTCCGCTACACTTGTGGCGATAGTTGAAGCGACTATAACGTATCGAATGCTGAATGCACGAATTAGAGTAAAAACAATACATTTTTATCAAATTTTTATATTAATTTATACACCAGTGATTAAATTGGTTGGAGCTTTTACTTAGCAAATTTTTATAACGAAATTTATATTAATTAAACGAGAGCGCAATTTTTATTCAAACGTATGAAATGCAATTGGTTATGCCGCTGTATACGAAATTAGTTATTCACAACGATTAATAATTCCTTAACCTGTTTTGCGCGCAAGAAATCGATTTCCAGCTAAACGCTGATTATCGATTAGATTTACTATCGTCGTTCCTGAAAAGTAGCATTAAAATCTTTATGCTGTGCCGGATTCAGCCGTTGTAAAAGGTTATATGGGCGCGCCGAGACCGTTTTATAGGCCGGTGCTTCGGTATGTGGTCAGGGTCGGCGTATCGACGATGTATCTACACGAGATACTTACATATGTAGAATGCTGATCGTGTTTCCATTTCGAGTTTTAGTAATCTCAATACTTTGTGGAATTGTTTGTTAAGTGCATGAATTTCTACATCGCTATGATCTAATGCGACAAATAATAAATTAATTAACGAAGGAGGAAGATAAAATAAGATTTTAAACGGTTTGAAGGAAATTCTTGATTTTTTTTAAACAGAAATAGACATAATAATTTATACACATGTAATGCAAGGTCATTCATAAGAGTATGCAATACAGAATTTGTATTTATAGCAAAAGTATGTTAAATATGATGTAATATTAAAAAATTAAACGTTGATTGACGCGTATACCAGCAATCGTGCAGTTGCATCAGCGATAAATTATGAGTGGGACGCGTAATTTCCTGTTTCGTCGTTACTACTATAAAAGTTGCGATTGCATCGGACATTTGCAGAAGAATCGGCAATATGTAATTGTATTAAGGACCATTGAAAGGATTAAAAATAATTTTTAAATAAAATTTTTTAACGAAATAACTCATAAATTTGAGTAGCGATACAATGATATTGAAAATTATTTATTGATATGACGTTGATAATTCGAGATTCCGACTTTGCTCGTGTAGGAAACGTATCGTACTCGTATGTTTTGAGAATCAATATACTCACTCTCTAATCGCTGATGGCCGATTTTTTATGGATCTGACATGCTTGTGTAGAGTGTATTACAGAACAGGCGTCAAAAAGTACGTTTACAAAAACAACCGTTTCGTTGCTCGCGTTTTCCGACTACAAAATAAACTTTTAAGGTGGATTGTAAACGGTTTTTTTTTATAAATGTGTTTTATTTTATTTTTGTGAAACCTCTCATTGATTTTACAAGCACGTAAAATGATACTATTGAGTTCACAATCAAAAGAAAGCTTCTTTGACTAGATTGTGCATAATATATTAGAAAATCCTTACGATATAAAATATTCAATTATAACATATTTCTCTCCTTTCGTCTTATTTACAATTATAAATTAAACATGTCAACATTAATTTTCAAAACTATACACGAGGTATCTGCATTCGGTTTTATACAAAAACGGATTTTCCTAATAAAACATCACTCTCGGGGAAATTAATATTAAAAGGCCGTATCCATTCACGCATGATATATCTGGCGAAAAAAAACCCGTACGAAAATTGTGCAGTTAACAGATTTATTTGCGATGTTTCGACAATCGATGATTCTGTTGATTTGATGTTGCCACTCAAGCGTGTATATCGATTAGACGTGGCTATCGATTCCGCGCGCGAGAATTCCCGAACTTTTCCGATTCCGTCACTCACTTTTCGAAGAGGCTGCGATCGAAGGCTGACTAGATTAACTCTGCGAAACTATACATATACATAATTGCGTGAATATTCTACCTCTAGATATCGAATTATTCCATTTGTGTAATCCGATATACTTTGACCTATTTTATTTTATCATTTATATTAAGCCATCGTGCAATAAATTTTATCTATTAAAATATACGTACTCTCGTTGCACAAATATGTTCTAGCAATGATATATTTATGATATATTTAAATATCCAATATTTTCTGTATTATATAATGCTTTAATAATTATGCAAATAATTAAGGAAGTGCATATATTATTTCACGTTTTGCGTTGCTCAATTCTGGTTTTATTTTGTGGAAAACGTCAAAGAGATGCATATTTCTATTGAATGAATATACTTATATTTGCTTTTTTGACCGTAAGAAATTTCTAAAATACTCCTTATACGTGTGATTTGCATTGTAATGCGTGATTCTTGTATGTGACCTCGATTGAACTTCAAAGTACGTGATCGATGGATGTTTGTTTTATAGTTACGTCGCGGGACTCGTCATTCTCGTTGTCGGTTCGCGGAGATGACACTGTCGACTATTTTCTCATTCATCACCGCGCATTCCGCCTCCGTTGTTTCGAAT